TACAATATCCCAATACTTAGGTGCCGATACGATATGTATTGCAATTCGATATTGTGATTCGATGTTCCAAACATTTCTCACTCTAAGGCTGCTGCAGAAGGACAAGAGACCCATGAGAAAACACACTTTGATCAGTCATGGAAATGCAATAAATATCACACAGTAAAAAGGCCTCTTTCATTATTTATTTCGGTCTTTCATTGTCCTAAATGACACATTTGGATGCTGTTCACATGGGAAACCATCAGACGAGGCTAAGCGCTTGTGAGCTGAATAAGCAATATAAACACAACATGTAAAGTGTTGGTCCCATGTTTCATGAGCTGAAATAAATGAACCCCAAAATGTTCCATACACATGAAAAGCTTATTTCTCTCAGATTGTGCACATTTTTATTTCCATCCCAGACAGTGAGCATTTGTCCTTTGCCAAGATAACCCAGCCACCTGACAGGTTTGGCATATCAATAAACTGATTAAACAGCATGATCACCTTGTGCTGGGGACAATAAACAGCCATACTAAAATGTGCAGTTTCGTCACACAACACAATGCCACAAATGTCTCAAATTTTGAGGGAGCGTGCAATTGGCATGCTGACAGCAGGAATTAAAATGTTGATTTCTCTACCATAAGCCAACACCAACGTTGTTTTAGAGAATTTGGCAGTACGTCCAACTGGCCTCACAACCGCAGACCATGTGTAACCACGCCAGCACAGGACCTCCACATCTGGCTTCTTCACCTGCGGACTCGTCCGAGACCAGCCACCCGGACCGCTGATGAAACAGGAGTATTTCTTTCTGTGATAAAGCCCTTTGTGGGGAAAAACTCATTCAGATTGGCTGGGCCTGGCTTCCAAGTGGGTGGGCACCCATGGCTGTGCCCCTGCCCACTCATGTGAAATCCATAGATTAGGGCCTAATGTATTTATTTCAATTGACTGATTTCCTTATATGAACTGTAACTCAGTAAAATTGTTTCATTTATATATGTTTTCAGTATATAACATTGCTACATACTGCTCTTTAGGAGTTTGACTGACAGGGGGATGAAGGAGTGGTTATATATGTTCAGCTTACACTGAGGAACCCTGTTGTGTCTGCCTGAGGGGAGAAGCTGAAACTCTGGGTGGAGTACATGGGAGGGGTCTGACATTTTCTTGGCCTATCTCATGATTGTTTGTTCATAAACACAGTCTGCAGTGACTACCTCACACCCATCACCTTCATGGTTGTCTGGACATTGCGATTGATTTGTGATTTTAAGGTAACTGACAAGTTGCCAAACCAGGCTGCAATGCCATAGAATACAATGCTTTCTATGATAGCCTGGTAAAATAGGAAAATGACCTTCTGCTTGACTCCAAAAACCTTGAACCTACAGTTGAAGTCAGAAGTTTACATACACTTAGGTTGGAGTCATTAAAACTCATTTTCCAACCACTCCACACATTTCTTGTTAACAAACTATAGTTTTGGCAAGTTGGTTAGGACATCTACTTTGTGCATGACACAAGTAATTTTTCCAACAATTGTTTACAGACAGATTATTTCACTTATAATTCACTGTATCACAATTCCAGTGGGTCAGAAGTTTACATACACTAAGTTGACTGTGCCTTTAAACAGCATGGAAAATTCCAGAAAATGATGTCATGGCTTTAGAAGCTTCTGATAGGCTAATTTACATAATTTGAGTCAATTGGAGGTGTACCTGTGGATGTATTTCAAGGCCTACCTTCAAACTCAGTGCCTCTTTGCTTGACATCATTGGAAAATCAAAAGAAATCAGTGAAGACCTCAGAAAAAAATGTGTAGACCTCCACAAGTCTGGTTCATCCTTGGGAAATATTTCCAAACGCCTGAAGGTACCACGTTCATCTGTACAATCAATCATACGCAAGTATAAACACCATGGGACCATGCAGCCGTCATACCACTCAGGAAGGAGACGCATTCTGCCTCCTAGAGATGAATGTACTTTGGTGTGAAAAGTGCAAATCAATCCCAGAACAACAGCAAAGGACCTTGTGAAGATGCTGGAGGAAACAGGTAGAAAAGTGTCTATATCCACAGTAAAATGAGTCCTATATAGACATAACCTGAAAGGCCGCTCAGAAAGGAAGAACCACTGCTCCAAAACCGCCACAAAAAAGCCAGACTACGGTTTGCAACGGCACATGGGGACAAAGATCGTACTTTTTGGAGAAATGTTCTCTGGTCTGATGAAACGAAAATAGAACTGTTTGGCCATACTGACCATCGTTATGTTTGGAGGAAAAAGGGGGTGGCTTGCAAGCCAAAGAACACCATCCCAACCATGAAGCACGGGGGTGTCAGCATCAGGCTGTGGGGGTGCTTTGTTGCAGGAGGGACTGGTGCACTTCACAAAATAGATGGCATCATGAGGAAGGAATATTATGTGCATATATTGAAGCAACATCTCAAGACATCAGTCAGGAAGTTAAAGCTTGGTCGCAAATGGGTCTTCCAAATGGACAATGACCCCAAGCATACTTCCAAAGTTGTGGCAAAATGGCTTAAGGACAACAAAGTCAAGGTATTGGAGTGGCCATCACAAAGCCCTGACCTCAATCCTATAGAAAATGTGTGGGCAGAACTGAAAAAGCATGTGCGAGCAAGGAGGCCTACAAACCTGACTCAGTTACACCAGCTCTGTCAGGAGGAATGGGCCAAAATTCACCCAACTTATTGTGGGAAGCTTGTGGAAGGCTACCCAAAACGTTTGACCCAAGTTAAACAATTTAAAGGCAATGCTACCAAATACTAATTAAGTGTATGTAAACTTCTGACCCACTGGGAATGTGATGAAAGAAATAAAAGCTGAAGTAAATAATTCTCTCTACTATTATTCTGACATTTCACATTCTTAAAATAAAGTGGTGATCCTAACTGACCTAAGACAGGGAATTCTTACTAGGATTAAACGTCAGGAATTGTGAAAAACTGAGTTTAAATGTATTTGGCTAAGGTGTATGTAAACTTCCGACTTCAACTGTACACAGAAAAGAAAGGCGTTGTTGGACTCTAAAGCATTTGTAAGAGTGGAACTGAGTAATGTCTACATTATGGACCACAACAGGTGAGTGGTCACCAACAGATTTGGGGTCAAAAAACATTTCCTCAGTTTGCTTGACATTTAGGATGAGGTGGTGGTCATCACACCACTGCACAAAACTCTCTGACCTACAGTGTCTATACATTAGACCCAGGATGGCAGTATAATCAGAAAATATGTGTCTACTTGTACATTCATTTGTATACACTGAATAGGATGGGTTAACGCTCAGCCTTGGGGGGCACCTTAATGACCTTTGGCTAAGACAGGGTCTCGTTCACTCGAACCTGCTGTGTCAGAAATGAGTGATACCACCTGATGGTATAGGGCAGGGTTCTTCAATTCCGGTCCTGGAGGGCCAAAACACTTGTTTTATATTTCTACCTGGAAGTTAATTGCACTCACCTGGTGTCCCAGGTCTGAATTAGACCCTGATTAGAAGGAGAGGATAAAAAAAACAGAGGTGTTTCGGCCCTCCAGGACCGGAATTGAAGAACCCTGGTATAGGGTTTGCCTGACATCTGTCTGAGCTTACTGACGAGACTGTGTGGCTGCAAGATGTTAAATGCTAAACTAAAATCCACAAATAGCAGCAAAATGCATCTTACGGGGATGATCTGTATTTTGAAGTGTCATAACTTGAAAACCTGATTGCTGATAAGCAAAACATTTTGGGACTGCGTCAACAATGGACAAATACCAAAATAGTTTTTGGGCGGTTTTCCTTTACCAAAAAACACCCTCAATGAAAACCATCTGACCAATTACAGAGCACTTTAACACCCATCACTGTTGATCCTCCCACTTGCTGACACGCCCACTTTTCACTCTCCACATTTGGAGTTAGAGGCGACTCCAAGTATGGCTAATTCCCACTTCGATAAAGCTACAACCATAATTATGGTCTTTCCGTAGTAGTTTAGGAGAGCATTTTTGCTAACCCCAACCTTTTCCTAAACTCAATCTAATTATCCTAACCGGCTACGAAAGTCACTTCGGTTAGTAGCTGTATCGAAGTGGAGTGTTTTCAGGGAATAAAAAAAATAGTTGAGGAAGCAGCATTATCTTTGGTTATTTAAAAAAAATAGAATAGTACCACAGATGTTAAAGTATCTTTGGTAATAGTTTAACTTTTGTTTATTACTGGTTTATCATCCACTTCAGTATATTTGATGGATTCCTAGCCAAAGCACAAGTGGCTGAGATACCTTTCTGTCCATTGATAGGTAGTTGCAAAGCCCTACAATCTGTTCAGACAGATTAGCTGCGGGTTTTTTTTAGATATAGAAGCCGGTGGGTAGCCAGAGTATACCAAAAACACAAGCCAATTAGAACAAGACACTTAACCACCTTGATAGCAGCAACAGCCTCAGATCATTAAATATTTGGTCAGATGGATGACAATCTTCCAACAGGCGACACTCGTCCCTCAACCAGTGCAGGCTGAATTGTCAGACGTAAAACAACAAGATCTTATTTCAAAACTGTTTGGAGTGGTATGACTGGTTTACATTGTATTGGCCATCAAAGAATAAAAGGTACATATAAAAACTGAGCACCTTCAGAATTGCAAAATGCAAACAGCACCATCTTAATATTTCATGTCATCTGCCTGAGCCCCTTGAGTAAGAATACACAATTCCTGGATGTAATTAACACTTTCTCAAAGTCCATATGTCAATGATCAGTAGCCCACTCAGTTTTCAAACTCCACTCACTCAAAACGGCACATTGAGGCCGATACGTAAAGCTTATTAAAGAGCAGTGATACTAGCAAGAGCAGATGTGCGAGTGCCTTTTGAATGACATTGAGAAACACTGAAATCAAACAACATCAAAATGTAGAAATACTACGGCCAGTTATACCAATGACATTTTTTTTGTTGAAATTATTTTTATTGTAGCAGTACAAACGCACAATTACTTAGATTTCTGACTCTGTGCCTGTGCCTTAAGGACCTTGACAACGATCTTCTGTTCCTCAATCAGGAATGCGCGTTTGATCCTGTGGTAGATAGAAGGGTTAACGTTAGTGGATCAGGTATCTTGAGTTGTTCAGGCATTGTTTGCATGATACAAACATCAATAAGCGTAAAGCAAAATCTAATGAAAGCATGTTGCAAAGATCAATGCCTTCAAAGTAGATTGTAGAAACACCACCCTACATTATTTGCACACAGAAAGTTCCACTGCTTTTAAAAGCTCACCCCAGGAAGACTCTCACAACTATTTGACTAAATTTGGTAAATGTAACAAAACCATTGACTGGGGGGGATTGTTTGAAGACGGTCATACTGTGGATCATTTATCCATTTCATTTTAGGACCCCTTTAGGTATACATTTCTTTATAGAAAGTATAAAATATTAAATTTGGCCTTTACTACTATAACCCAGAGAAACACATCATATAACATTCATAAATGGCAATGACAGTCAAAAAATAAATAATAAGAAACAAGGTTTAGAAGGGTCTGTCCTATATCTAGGAGACATAAGAAAGCTCAGGATATATAATATTTTTACACATATTTAACCCCTTTTTTGGGGTAGGCACAAAACTACCTTCACACTTTTTGTTTTGTTAGGTAACTTAGATTGACGCTCCGGTGCGTCAATTGACAAAAGGGGGTTAAGGATGGAAATGAAACTACGGCTGGTGCCTTGAATGTAATAACATCTTACTGGCATAGTCCAATATGCAAGTAAACCGAGCCAGAATGGCCCATGGGGCAGGAGCCCATCTCCTGAATCTGTAGCGTGAGGCAGCTTGGTGAATTAAAACAGCACCTGGACAGGCCCTCAACACCGAGTCAAGCAGAGTCCCATTTTTTAAAGTCTTTGATACAACTCAACTGGGAATTGAACCCTCCAATCTCAGGGTGTACACTAACCACAAGCCCAGAGTTCATTACTCCAATATGAAACATTTTCATTACCGTGGAGACCCATACAGAAACAATCCTTAGCCACGTCATGTAGCTCTGAATAGGTATGGAAGTAGTTCCATCAACTATCACCGATAGGCTGGGTGGAGATGGCCATACTGCCTACATGTATCCAACCGTTTTAGATCTACACTTGTGTCTAGGGTTTCTGGAGAGCACAAGAAAAATGCGAACAAAAAAAGTACTCCTTTATTCTGGCCAAAACACCAATGCAATGCCATTGAATAAAGTCATTTAATTGAAGACACATTTCCATGACAGTATGGTACCCCCCCCCCCACAAATGTGGATGTCGATAAGTTTATAGGGCAGTCAGTAAAGACTGCAGTTGCAGTCTTTCACCTTCACATTTTGCTAGATGTGCGTTGAATCAATCTTCATTAAACCGCACATTTCATCCGACATATTCAACACGTGGACATATTTTCTACAAAGGCGGTGTTGGGGGATACGCTCGCTTACCGGTCACGCACACACTTGGCACACATGGCTCCACCGTAGGCTCTGCTGACGTGCTTCTTGGTTTTTGAGAGCCTCATCAGGACCTGGGGTCTCACCGCCCGGATCTTTAAGACAAATAAATACTTGTGAGCACAGATGTAACACACACACCTGAACCCAGGGTTATATTCTGGAGAAACTAGTGTTGCACAGTATACCGAAACTTTGGTACTTGAACCTGAAAAACTGTTTGGTACTAGAACGTTACTTTCAGTACTTTTCTCAAATGTGTCTCATGTAGTCTACTGATTGAGAGCAGATCAAGTCTATCAGCGCAGTCGATGCCCCCTTAGCGCAATAGCACCGTACCTGCTCCACTTACTCATTGCTAGCCTGTCCTGAGGAACCACTGGGAATCTGGGCTGAATCACCACTTATGTTGCACAGAAATTAACACACTTTAATAACGCAACATGGCCTGAACAAATGTTGAAACAACGTCCATTACAGGTTAGAACACTGTACAATGCAAGATGATAACAGTAGCTTCCAGCTTTGTAGACCAACTTTCCTTGCTAGCAAACAGCTGAAGCTAACATCGATTCACTATCCTAGTACCTTCTTTGCGATAAACCATTTCAAAGCTATTATTTCACTTAAATCGCCCGTCACGTCTCTCCCAGTCAAGATCTTTGCTTGAGACTCAAACTGAGTGTGTGTGAATGAAGACATGTCTTAGAGACAGTGCACACTTATAAAAGAGATTGCTTCTATGCAAATGTTGATAAGTACAATAAAAAAATCAAATGGAAGGGAAAGATTCTCATCTATAGCCCCATGAAATCAGCCAAAACAAGCTCAAGTCAATGCACACACTCCTATTGAATATGCATTCACCTGTATTGTAAATAGACCTCGGCTACATCTTGATTTTCCCAGTTCATCAATAGACTAGAGAATGAACATTCAAATAACTAATTACCATACCATCATGGTACGCATATTAGTAAAAAGAAAAGGTCAAATTGATTGCATGTATTGTATTTATTGATTCATTAATGCATGCAAAAACCTAACATTTTCAAATGTAATGAAATTGAACTCAAGATGTGTTTGGATCAAGTGCCATTTCGGCATTCGACGTAGTGCTTTCAACCATCCTTAGGACGCATTCAAACCATACAAACTGATGTGTAAAAAAAGACTACAACTCAATGGTTTTCAGTGGAAGCAGTGTGTTGGGGGGAGGGGGTGGCTAATATTGTGTTGTGCTCAGTCTGAAAAGTTACAATGTATTATCAAATAATTTCTCTCCACCCAACCACACATGCGTTTTTGTTGAGGTACCCTTACGCACAGTTCAGACGCTGAATTCATGGCGAGTCGAACTGCATAGAAATTAAGATTGGGCTGGCACAGTTAACATTTACGTCATTTAGCAGACGCTCTTATCCAGAGCGACTTACAGTTAGTGAGTGCATACATTATTTTAATTTTTTCATACTAGCCCCCCGTGGGAATCGAACCCACAACCCTGGCGTTGCAAACGCCATGCTCTACCAACTGAGCGACATCCCTGCCGGCCATTCCCTCCCCTACCCTGGACGACGCTGGGCCAATTGTGCGCAGCACCATGGGTCTCCCGGTCGCGGCCGGCTACGACAGAGCCTGGATTCGAACCAGGATCTCTAGTGGCACAGCTAGCACTGCGCCACTTGTTTGATGTACCGATTGTTTACATACAACCGCAGACTTCCTCGTTGGTTTTGGGTCGAATTCAGGCATAACAGCGACCTCTCACAGAAGTCCTCCACCTGTGAATCCAAGGCCAATACTGTGCTTCCGTTGTGGGTATGGTCGAGAAGCAACCTTTCTTTGCATGCAATTAACATATATTAACATGCATTACTACTTCTCCCGACAGTGGAAGGACTTCTCTGGCGAGCTGCATGAAACAGGCGTGCTTCAGCCACGCCACGCCGAAAAAGCAGCACAGGCTGCGGAACTATCGTCAGAGCTGAGGCGTACTACTGTTTCAGACGGTACTCTATCCCCGCTCTTCCAAAGAGCAAATGACTTAGATAGGACTGACTGTAGATGGGACATTACTTACCCCGCGCAGTCTACCAGGGCAGATTCCGCATGCCGACTTGGGGGCCTTGCCCACCTTCTTGGTGTACAGGTACACAATGCGGTTACCAGGAGTCCGGGACCTGCAAGCAGGGTCATATACAAAGTTGTCCACAATATTTAGAAAGGGATGAAAACATCCCAGGATCAGTTTTTCGTACTTCCTATTTAAAATCAATAGCTAGGTACAACCATGTGCAATCCAGTACAACTTACTAGCAACAACCAATTAGTTTAGGTCATGAGAGATGCCAGGCAATGTAATAACTAACAATGACAAAGAAGCTAAAGAAATGGCAGGGAAGCCAAGGGAATTGCAACGCAATTAGCTAGATAAAGATCATGCTACTCACAGCCTAGTTTTGTTGGAGGCAGTGTTGTAAGACAACCTACGACGGTAAGTCAAGCGCTGGACCATGTTGATACCTGTAAATACATGACAGTAGTATACATTATTCACTGATTGATTAGCTACATAACTAGATAGCTAAATAATGAACTAGTTAGCTAGTTTGTTCATTATGCAATGGTATTGGGGACTGCGGATGGAGTAAACATTACTGATCAACGCTACTATACATTTAAGTCATTTAGCAGACGCTCTAATCCAGAGAGATTTAGTTAGTGAGTGCATACATTTTTCATACTGGCCCCCCGTGGGAATCGAACCCACAACCCTGGGGTTGCAAGCGCCATGCTCTACCAACTGAGTTACAGGAGGCCTACTAGCAAGAAAGAACATTTTGCTTGCAAGTATACACCTTGCTTTGGCAATTTAAACAAGACTACCTCAGGCAGTAAAACCACATAAACGGTAATGCGTTTTGGTACCAAAATGGACTTATTTCTGCTTTGGGCTAAACGTTACTGAAGGCATGATACTAAAGGGCGACAACAACAAAGTACTAGGATAAGAAGAAATCATTAAATAATATCATCAATGTGTTTACGGTTTCTAACACTGTGGAAATACAGCATTTCAAATACTATTTGTCATTTTATAACACCAGATTACAACAGATTCCTTTGACAAAAAATATGCGACAAAATATATGCCTCCATACCTGCTATCACCGTCACCGGAAGAGGAAGACCAAAGAAGTTGCTCTGAAATGTTAAATTCTCTCAGCACCGGATATTTCTGCAACTTCTTAAAATATGCTGCCACCTACTGATGATTGTGTGTACTCCCATTGACACGCCCACAATTATTATTTTTTACATTACCTATACGATTATGACGCCCGAAACGATTATAATTAAAAGTTCCATGTAGCCAGTTATTTAACTTCCGGCCCGCCATCCAACTATCATAATTGGATCGTTTCCTCAAAATACAAATCAACATGATTTCCCCACTGGCTCACCAAGCCAGTTTTTTGGGAGAGGGGTTACATTCCCTCTGCCCCATCCCTCAGCTATATACCAAAACATGTGTAAGTGGTCATTTTGCTGAAAAACGAATAGCAGACTGTAGCTTTCATTCTTGCTTTATTGTTAAAGTGTATTGTAGGGTGAATTCAGAAAAAGTGGGACATTATATAAACTGGGATAGCTTAATCCTGATGCCTTTATTTCTTGGTCTGACAAGTGCCTCCAGCACCTTCACAAATCAGCTTTGGGTGTGCGGTAGATTCTGCCTATTATCTATTGGTCTGACAAGTGAAAATCTAAACTATTGTTACTAAGCCCTTGCAGAGAAACCACATGATCAAAACCACTTCATTGGTGTTACATCATAGATGGTGGCAGAGCAAGCTTCAAACAAGGAGCTAACCCACAAAACACACTAAGATCAGTGGCATAGCTTTTTTTCTGTTTTGTTAAGGTTATAAAACGGTCATAAATAATTCACTGTGCAAAATTGTGATGTAAATGTGCATACTATGTAGGCTACTGGAAAGTTGCCAATTTTGTAATTCAGTCATTTACAACCATAGCTAGGACAGCGTGGAGTAGCTAAAGTGTTCTTATAGGCTTTTCCAATGGAGGAAATACATCCAGTTTACATTCGGGACACCCTGTACTTACAGTGCCTTCAGAAAAGTTTCACTTCCCCATTATATTAGTTGTGATTCGGTTCAATTGTGGTGAATCGAATCATGTGAATCAAAATAATAATTTGTCAATCACAAACATTAATTTTAGGAAATAATATTTGATGTAGCCTTTCTCTTGGATTATGTGGCTTCAAAACGTGTTTTGTAGATACTTCCAGTTGATTTGGGAATCCAATGTATGCAAAGTAAACACTTCTAAGGTAGCTAAGATAGGCTAAATATGACTAAACTCGAAAAGGTAGATTTCATGAAGAACATTTGTGGGCTTGCTTCAGCTGAAAACAAATATTTGTAGCCTACCATAGTCATTTGATCTTTGATATACTGAAAAAGCAAATTATTTCAAAAGGAATAAAATGTATTTGGTTGTGATGTCGCAATGTTATACATCAAGGGTGGTCAACCATCCTCCGGGAGAGCTAGTGCAGTTTTTATTCCAGTCCCCCTCTCTAAAAACCACATATTAGAAATTAGCTGCTCAACCGGACCTTGATAAACTGGCTCTGATGTGCTTGAGCAGGGCTTGATCAAAAGCCTGCACACCCAGTAGCTCTCCAGACTGAGGGTTAACCATGTGTTTTATACAGTTGCCTAACAGGTATTCTACTTTGTGTGGGGTTAAGTGCCTTGCACAATGACAGGAGATGGTACATGGGATCAGAGAGCAGCCTCCCAGTGTCGATACAACATTCCGCTTACATTTGTTATATGTACAGTACCTTCAGAAAGTATTCATACCTCTTGACTTCTTCCACATTTAGTTGTGTTACAGCCTGAATATTTTTGTACTAAAATAAACAACATGTCTCACCAATCTACACACAATAGCCCATAATGACAAAGTGAAAACATTTATTGAAAATGAAATACAGAAATATCTCATTTCCAGTAAGTATTCACACACCTGAGTCAATACATGTTAGAATCAACTTTGGCAGCAATTACAGCTGTGAGTCTTTCTGGGTAAGTCTCTAAGAGCGTTGCACCCCTGGATTGTACAATATTTGCACATTCTTTTTTTATTATTCTTCAAGCTCTGTCAAGTTGGTTGTTGGTCATTGATCATTGCTAGACAACCATTTTCAGGTCTTGCCTTAGATTTTCAAGCTGATTTAAGTAAAAAAATGTAACAATGTCTTCTTGGTAAGCAACTACAGTGTATATTTGGCCTTGTGTTTCAGGTTATTGTCCTGGTGAAAGGTGAATTCATCTCCCAGTGTCTGGTGGAAAGCAGACTGAACCAGGTTTTCTGCTAGGATTTTGCCTGTGCTTACCTCCATTCTGTTTTTGCTTTATCCTGAAAAACTTCAGAGTACTTGGTGATGACAAGCATACCCATAACATTATGCAGCCACCACCATGCTTTAAAATATGAAGAGCGGTATTCAGTGATGTTTGTGTTGGATTTTCCACAAACATAATACATTTTATTCAGGACAAAAAGTGAATTGCTTTGCCACATTTATAGCAGTTTTACTTTAGTGCCTTGTTGCAAACAGGATGCATGTTTTGGAATATTTTTATCCTGTAAAGGCTTTCTTCTTTTCACTCTGTCAATTAGGTTAGTATTGTGGAGTAACTACAATGTTGTTGATCCATCCTCAGTTTTCTCTTATAACAGCATTAAACTCTGTAACTGTTTTAAAGTCACCATTGGCCTCATTGTGAAATCCCTGAGCGGTTTCCTTCCTCTCCGGCAACTGAGTTAGGAAGGACGCCTGTATCTTTGTAGTGACTGGGTGTATTGATACACCATCCAAAGTGTAATTAATAACTTCACCATGCTCAAAGGGATATTCAATGTCTGCTTTTTATTTTTATTCTTTTTCATCTACCAATAGGTTCCCTTCTTTGCGAAGCATTGGAAAACCTCCCTGGTCTTTGTGGTTGAATCTCTGTTTGAAATTCACTGCTTGACTGAGAGACCTTACAGATAATTGTATGTGTGGGGTACAGAGATGAGGTAGTCATTTAAAAACACATGTCAAACACTATTATTGCATGCGACTTCCTCCATGCGACTTACAGTATGTGCCTTGTTAAGCACATTTTTACTCCTGAACTTACAGTATTTAGGCTTGCCATAACATAGGGGTTGAATACTTATTGACTCAAAACATTTCTTTTTTTCATTTGTAATTAATTAGTAAAAATTTGTAAAAACATATTTCCACTTTGATGCTGTTGGTACTATTTCTAAGTATTTAAAACCTTTTCTGTCATCTGAGTTAGTTATTTTATTTTATTTGAACCTGGATTGGCTCCAGCCTCTGATCATTTGAAGAACATTTGTCTTTACTTTAACCTGACTCAACTATTCTCCAAACCTACATGGATTAATGTAAGAAACCCAGAAAACTCCTTGCTGATTGACCTAATTTTTACAAATAGCCCCCACAAGTTCTTCTCGAGTGGTGTTTTTGCTAATGACATCAGTGATCACTGTCCTATTGCATGTATAAGAGATACAAAACAGAGAAACATTGATCCTTGTATAATTAGGAAGATCAAACTTGTTTTTTTTATTCCTTAAAAAAATATGTTTTATTGTCAAATACTGTACACCGGATAGGTGCATTGAAATGTGTTGTTTTACAGGGTCAGCCATAGTAGTACGGTGCCCCTGGAGCAAATTAGGGTTAGGTGCCTTGCTCAAGGCCACATCACATTTATTCACCTTGTCTGCTCGGGTATTCGAACCAGCAACCTTTCACTAATTGTACATATTACCCCTGTATTGTAACATTTTTCATCCACTAGATGTCAGTAATGTGCTAACACCTCTACTGAAAGTTGACAGATTGCGCTTGTATGAAGTTAGCTATTTCAAAGAGTAAAGTTAGCGTAAAGCCCATTTTCCAATAGTTTTTTGTCTCAGAGCAAAACAAAGTAAAACACAACAATCCCAGTCCTACATTCAATGTAGTAAATCCTACTAATTTGCCCCTGGTTGGGAAACTGAGCCATATTTTTTTTTAAACCTATTTGCAACTTCTGTACCAGAATGTTCTTGCTGCTCCCACAGAATATCCTAATAATAAAAGTGTACACAGCTGAAAGTAGAGACTGGGTTTACAAGCTCTTGTAGGGTGTTTGACATTAGAATTTGGGTGGGTGCTATGCTGGCACAATGGCCACAAAAAAACTAAAGTATGAATGAGAATGTCATGGTAACTTTTGTGCCAAGTTGGAGAATGGTTTGCGTCACTATAGCTCTGCCCCTACCTACACCTACTCAGTGTAATATTTATGTTTCTGCTAATGGATTTAGGGATGGTCCTAGACTAAAAAGCAAGCTAAATGGAGATTATTCATTGAAAGTGCTTTTTAGTCTAGGACTGGGAATAATCTGTGTCAG